GGCAGGGCGGGGGGCGGGGGCGGCGTTGCTGTCTTGCCTTGGGCAGCAGAAATTGTAAATACACCACTGGCTACACCAATGTGTTGAACATAGAAAGTATAACAGATTTATCCATCAATGCCTGGATGGAGGCATCCCCTGCTCTTTTGCATTGTATTCTGACAGCTGATGGTAGCCACTGTCAGAATACCCGAATGTTTGGCCAAGAATTTTCCAGCCTGCTACTTCGATCAGCTAATTGAGAGATGCTGAGCAGAAGGGTGCCCACAGGGGCACTCACAGTGAGAATTTTGTCCGGTTTCTCAAGAAGTGGCCTAATTTTGCACCATGTATAGCCTACTTTAGGCAGGGCTGATGACACGTCAGCATTACCAGCCACCAAAAAGAAGTTAGGAGTTCACTGGATTTTTGACAGGAACACCCTTTCGCTGTCAATGATGTGTGGCAAATGTCACGGCAAAGAAAGGCCTCAAAGAAGCTCACGGACACAATGGCAGCCATAAGTCGGCATATTCCTGGTAAAAATGATCTGGGTGGCTATAATATTGCCCAAAATGTTGGTGAGATATAGACAGACAGACAGCTTAATAAAAGGATACAATGACTCTATTACATTATATATATTTATTTAAAAATGAACATATTAAGTTAGACAAATCATTACAAGACCAAAACAAACTGCACATACACTATATACAAGAAATAAAAATAACTTTAACATGCAAACTTAAAATCCATGAAGTAGTTGTGTAGCTTTAAGTGTATATCCACTTTTGCAGTCAAATCGGGAAAACACTCATTCACATAGCAGAACTCAAACAAAAAATACAAAGGTGGGTGGGGGATAAATGTTTGCATAATGAACACTGTCTGTACTGTGCTGACAGATCTCATTATCCCTTGTAAACTAGATTTGGACACTGTCTGTCCTAACAGAGAGTTAAAGATCTAGAAGCATTGTATGGTAATGAGAGGAAGTTCGGTCTGTCCCTAGTCATTCTATAGGGACAGGCAGAGATTCTGGTCACTTTGAGATTGAGAGAGAAGCTTGCAGGGCCTGCTACACAGAGACATCTAAGGCTAGGTTCACACCTATGTGACACCTCACCGTGTGGTCAGGAGTCGCCAAGGTGTGAACCGAACGCGATGTGGGTGCCATTATTTTCTAATGGCACCCCAGTCACGCCGGGCGAATGGCGTGGTTTCCCGCTATGATTCCACATGTGCTTCCGAACACGATTGTGGCTCAAACAGCCGCGCGTCGTGTATCGCAAACTAAAGGTACATGTACCTTTATTCTGTGATTGCCACGTGGATGTCACCCTATTGAAATCAATGGGGCCGTGCGGCAATCACTGCCTGCATTGTAGCGGACCGCACAATCCCGGGACGCGCTTTCCGGGTGTTGTGCAGTGTAGTGCAGGTGTGGACCTAGCCTAAAAGATAAGAAATATACTTTGTTTCATCATTGTTAGATATGCTGTGTGAATGGGAACACATAACAAACATATAGTGAGGTTTTCTCAAATATGAGGACAATAGTGGACATACACTGTGTAAACAAGCTCTCCCGGTCATGTTTTACCACTCTGGTGACCAGAAGAGTAACTTATGGTAAGATCTAAAGAAATACTGGTGGATAATGTGTAAAGCAAAAGCAAACTACAATGGGATTTCCCTTTCAAAGCTACTAATATATCTTAGCTTTGTACACTATGGCAATGTAAACAATACATATTAGGCTCCACTAGAAGAACTAGAAGTGGAAACTGGTGACAAAATTGTATTATAACGTACAATTCTGTCTGACCTGTTTCCAAATGATTTTATGTATGTGGCGCCCTTACTTTGCAACTACAGTGGGGGCAGCCAGTAAGGCGTTTACCAAATACCTACTCCATGGTGAGAAGAAGTTGGCTCCAGGCACCATAGCAAAGAACCTGAATGTGTTGCTTATTAGAGGTCTGAAACAGGCTGCTCATACAGTAGCGTGGGTGCTGCCAACGATAGGCAGCCGCCCTTAAGTACACACAGATATTAAAAGTTTTCCGTATTGGAAATGCTGGAAACTCTAAGTGGGGCCATTTGGATTCTGGCTTTCTTGATTTGTACTAACAATCCATTCAATACAGAGGTCAAACAAATACAGATGACATTTCAGCTACATATTCA